TGTCATTTCTCTGGACTCGCTCCCTGTGACCTGTCCGCAGTGCCCACCACAATGACGTCATTCCAGGTGACCACCGACGCCCCAAGTCCTTGCCCGGTCTTGAAGGTCTGGAAAGTCTGGAAGCCTGCCTGACGGGTCTCGTCCCCTGGTGGGCACAAGAAAGGGAGGAGCTCCGGAGCCCCGCCCAGCACTTCCACCTGGCTCCGCCGCCCCCTCCGTGCCGGAGACTCACTTAGGTCGAAGGTCAACGGGGTGCAATTGCCGCCAGTGGCCTTCCAGGGGCACAGGAACACGCCGCCGGTCTCCTCCTGACTTGGGCTTAGGGCCCTGGGGGCGCCCACCACGATGGACACACTGCGTAGGAAGGCCGAGTGAGCACAGCTCGGGGTCCTTCCATCCTGCCCTGTGCCTGCCACCCCAGCAGAACCTGGAAGGAGGTGTGGCACAGGAGACACTGGGGCATCTTTCCTCACAAATACCCCATGAAGGCCAACCTCTTCATTTTAGGGGCAGCTGAAACTGGACTCTTAGGAAAGTCACCTGAGACTAAACCAGTTGGTTTGGTTTGGACGGGAAGGGTTTCATAGTCCTTGCTGAAAACGCCTGCTATGCTTCCAATAAGAACCAGACAAATCTTCTGCCTTGTCAAGCTTAATAGATGGCTTAGGGAGAGCTGTTCTGAATGGTGAAGGGTGCGGCGGGCTGAAGTGGGGATGTGGGATGTGTGATGCTGACAGACAGAGTTGAGGATCCTAGCAGACCGAAGTTTAAATCAGTTCTGCCTTATGTAAAGCAGGGGTGATATCAAGCAACTGCGCTGCTGGAAGAGTAAATGCAATAAATGTATGAGAAGGTATTCAGTACGCCCTCAGCCACATGCTTTTGTAAAAGTGTATTTGTTAATAAACACAGCATGCTTATTAAATTGTACCCATGGGACCAGAGCTTGGGGAAAGAGCAGCAGACCGAGGAAGGGGGGGAAGGAGTTGAACTGAGCTTCAGGCCCTGTGTGTTAACACTCGAGAGCTCTGAGGACAGGAGATTTTTGTTTGTCGTTTGTTTAATTATTTTATTTTTTCCATTTTACATATCAATCCCAGTACTCCCTCCCCTCATCTTGCTTCCCCCACCTTACCCTCTAGCACGGACCTGCTCCTCAGAGAGGGTATAGACTTCAGGGGGAGTCAACGGAAGTCTGTCCCATCATGATGAAGCCTGACCAACTGCTCCCCCACCCCCCACCCCCGTGTTGAGCAAGGTAGCGAGGTATCTCTCCGTAGGAAATGGGCTCCAAAAAGCCAGCTCATGTACCAGGGATAGATCCTGGACCTACTTACTGCCGGTGGTCTCACAAACTGCCCAATCCACCCACTGTCACCTGCATTCAGGGGGTCTAGTTCAGTTCTATGCAGGCCCGGCAGCTGTTAAGTCTGGAGTCAGTGAGCTCCCACTAACTCTGGTCAGTTGTTTCTGTGGGTTTCCCCTTTATGATCTTGACCCCTTTGCTCATATTGTCACTCTTCCTTCTCTTCAACTGGACTCTGGTTTTGTTTTTTTGAGACAGGGTTTCTCTACGTAGCTCTGGCTGTCCTGGAACTCGCTCTGTGGCCTCAAACTCATAGGGATGCACCTGCCTCTGGCCCCCATTAAGGGGGAATAAAGCCAGATGTTGGTGGCGCATGCCTTTAATCCCAGCACTCGGGAGGCAGAGGCAGGCAGATCTCTGGAAGTTCGAGGCCAGCCTGGTCTACAGATCGAGTTCCAGGATAGGCTCCAAAACAATACAGAGAAACCCTGTCTCGAAAAGCCAAAAAAATAAAAAAATAAAATAAAGGAGAATAAAGGTGTGTGCCACCACACCCAGCTCAGGAGCTTTTATTTACTTGACAGTCTTGCTATGCAGGCCTGGTTATTTAGCTTATGGTAACCATCCTGCCTCAGCCTTCTGAGTGCTGGGTTTACAAGCATATGATGATTCTCAGTTACAGAATCATCAGAGTTGAGGCAAGCCCAGATCCCTCCCCCTTCACAGACAATCTCCGGATGCAAGACATCTTGGGATGGGGACCTGGCTTTTGATGAAATGGCTCTTTTAGGCAGAGGAAACGATTCCTTACACTTATCCTTGAGAGCAGTCTTTACTGTTCCCCAAACCTGAGCATCCCAGTGTCCATCACATTAAGTTACCCAGGATAAACACAGCTATGAAGATGACCCAGGAATATTAGAAGTTTGATCTCAAAACCTGATCAATGCCGACTGTTAGTAATCTATTACTTCTTTTCAAATACCTATAATTTGGACACTTGTATCTTTGCCAGCCAATTTCACATGAGTGGCTGAGGGTAAAGTGACAAAGTGAGGGACAAAGATGATAGCAACTTTTACCTTTTTTGTTCAATGATCATCTCCCATTGGTGTCCCTCCCCGGCACCCTCTCCTTCATTCCTGACAGGAGTTCCACCCAAACAGACACTAGACTTCACCTTGCTCAACCAGAGAGAGAGAGGCCACAGAGGCAATGATGAGGAGGCAGTCCTCTCAACACCCGTACCTTCCCTGGTGCTCACCTCCCGTGGTTGTCCTTGTGAAAGTCCACTGAAAATCCAAAGTGGCTGCCATTGGGACCTGCATAGACGGTGAACTTCACAGGGTCCAGGTTCAAGGCCCAGGCTGAAGGAACAGCACTAGGTCCCAAGAACAGTGGTGTCCACTGCAGGAGCCACAGGGCATGCCACGGACATGGAGCTTTAGCCATCCTCCTCCTTCTCCCCAAGCCTCCCAAACAGTAATGGGCCAGCTCTTTCCTCTGCCCTGAAGTTCCCACCACAGGAAGTTTCAGTTTATCAAACTGGAACTCAAAGTAACTGCTGAGCAGCAGGCATGGCAGAGGGCAACAGCCTCTAGACCACATGGTCTGTAGGATACCAGGAAGTGGGAGGCAATACCCTGCGGATGGAGGCTTATTGATGAAAGCCATGGCTCATCGCCTTTTCCCAGGACAGCCACCAAGACCTGCTGTTTCTGTTTCTAGGCTGCATTCCTAGAAATTCTTCTTTCTTTCTTTCTTTCTTTTTTTTCTTTCTTTCTTTCTTTCTTCTCTCTCTCTCTTTCTCCCTCTCTCTTTCTCCTTTCTTTCTTATTTATTTACTTATTTTGGAGATGGGGTTCTCTGTGTAGTCCTGGCTGCGCTGGAACTCACTCTGTGGACCAGGCTGGCCTTGAACTCAGAGATCTACCTGCTTCTGCCTCTTGAGTACCAGCATTAAAGCTTTGTGCCACCACCACCACCAGGCTTTAAAAACCCTTTTTATGCCCACTGTCACAATACCAGTCCAATCCAACCACTGTCCCTTTCTGCCTGAGAAAGTGTGAATTGGCCTGATCTACTTTACCATGGCCCATAGTTGAACAGTTCTTTTCTCCCCCATTTAGCTGACTGTCCTGCTCTTGAACACCATGACGTGGCCAGAGACGGAGGAGGGAGTAAGGAAACTGCTCTTCTCTGATAAGACCTGGGGCTACCATCGTTTTGAGTATGGCATTTATACACTTCCTCCTCCTAGAACCTGGGGACAGCCTCAGCCAGCAGTACTGATCCACCAGTTCCCTTATTTCTCCATCCTGAACCAAGTCTTAGTGTGGCTACAATGGTGCCTTCAATACTGAGGAAAGGGTAGTGAATGGATCTTGGCCTAAGTAGGGAGGAGATGGGGCTAGAATGACATCATTCCAGGGTGTACTGTTCCCAGTCCCTGAAATTAAGCACTGGCTGTTCAACTGGACAGCTTCACTCCTTCTTGGGTGACAGTGTGCATCTAACTATAAACAACTGATTTAGAGCCAGGCGGTGGTGGCACAGGCCTTTAGTCCCAGCACTCCAGGAGGCAGAGGCAAATGGATATCTGTCAGTTTGAGACCAGCCTGGTCTACAGAGTGAGTTCCAGGACAGCCAGGACTGTTAAACAGAGAAACCCTGTCTTGAAAAACAAACAGAAAAAGAATCGATTCTGGATGGAGCCCTCAGGTTGGGACCTTGCCATACACACACGGGTACAGTACTTGATGACCCTGATGACACTTTTACAGGATTGAGTATCCAAATCCTCTGAGAGCAAGGGTCCTTTCTGCTGTTCCAGGGCCTAGCCAAAAGCCCAGCAGTTGGGGTTTCAGAAAGTTAAGTCTTCCTAAAGGATGGAAGAAGAAACAGTGACAAAGAGAAAAGGGTCAAATTCTGAGAAGAAAGGTTTTTTTCCTGTGGATGAGGGAAGCAGAAGAGCACCATGCCCTGCTGGTCCACAGGCATGCAAGACCTGCTTTTAGTCTGTGTTTTCTCTTTTCTCTCTTTTTGCAGTACTAGGAGTAGCCCCATGCACGTAAGACAAATGCTCTATTACTGAGCCATGTACCCCAGGCTTGACCTTTATTTCTGATTACATTACCCACTGCCTTGCCTTGGCCACACTATCTCATTTTGAGGTCCTTTTAATTCCTCCTTCCTCTCATACTTCATCACCTCAGCAAACAGCTAAAAATTTTATCCTTCACCAAACAAAGTTCCTTGGATTTTATCCAGTGCTTTCTTCACTGGTGTGCCCTCAGTGTCAAATTTATGATAGGTGTGCAATGGAGATATCAGAGTGAACACTTAACATGGCCTCTGATGACTCTGTTTTTCCGACATTCTCAACTGAATGGTTCCTGCA